CTTTGTCGTGCCACAGGTTCAGGACCATTTTCCATCAACCCTCCCTCTGTAAGGGTTTCAGAGTCAAAATCTGCCTGTCAAGCCGGAGCTCGAGAAACCGAAGAACTTGAGGAATAGCAGCCCTGAAACTCCCTCTCTCATTCATTCCTTCCCCTTTAATGCTCAGCATGTGCAGAGTAGACATATTTTCCAGGAAGTGAAATATTTATAAGTGAAGGGCGATTGTATTTCCTGCCTCTGCCTTAGAAGCACAGATGGGTCGAGTAATACTTGGCGGTATCGTCCCATGTGCCAATCCTGTCAGAAGGAATTTCCACATGCTAAAATCTTGTTTCAATGTCCAACCCAGTAAGATGAAGTGGCTATCAAAGTGACAACTGGCCTCGCCTGCCACTGGAGACCTTAAGTCAGGATTCGAAGTGATGACATGAGCCCTTCTCAGGACAGAATGCTCCACTCCCTTCTTAATTAATTTAGACGTGGCCAACGTCAACAGAGCAATCCTAAATTGGACCATTTGGAAAACGAGTACTCCACCTTACACTAAGTGGAACCCTGCTCTAACTTAATGCTTGTTGTTTATTTGACCAAATCTTCCTGCCAAGTGTTGGACAATAGCTGGATAAGGTGGAAGTGTTGGCTATTCCTTTTTATCGAGTGACTCTGCCAGTTTGCATGCAGGAATATTTTGCTATCAGAAACGGGAGTGTATAGATTCCATTCAGATACTGTTTCCATGGCGGCCATGACAGAATGACTCTCAGCTGTAGTTATGGCTTATGGTTGGAGGTTGCGGGTAGTAATTTGGTGAGGTCTGGAAATCATTCACTAGGATGAGGGGTAAACGCCCTTCTATATGGCTGCTTTATCAATTCACTCAGATTTCATACACTCTGCCAATCTCGAAGACAACTGAATGCATTCAGTTCTGATAGATACCAGCCCCCGAACGCAACGAAGACCTTGCTTTCTGAACAATGAGGTTTAGTTGCAACATGCTTTGCGCACCAAGAACAATTTCTTCATATTGTTATGACAAAACTAAATGAAAAAAAAAAATGGAAAGCATGGTATTTTGTAAAAAGTTTTTGTCAAGGAAACCTGCAGTATAACAATTTGAGTGAAATTTTGCAATGAAGTTTAAGTTTAATCCCAGAATTTAGCATTTAGTATGTTCTTCCTTTGATTTAATATCAACATGTACTCGAATCCACATTTGGAGTAAAAATTCCACATTTTCAATGTTATTTAATTAGAAATAAAAATATTTTGAAACATTATAAAGGCCTCAATTTAATACATCAATATAAATAATATTTACACTACTGTGCAAAAGTCTTAGGCACTTTAGCATTTTCACTCCGAAAAATGGTTAAGCCAGTGATTAGCTAGTTATTTATATCTTTTGCTGTAATGTGTCAATAGGAAATATCAGTTTACATTTCTAAACATTCCTTTTAATTATTCCATAATTTATATAATTATATGAACGATATTTTGAGCTATTAAATTTAAGATTGGTAAAGTAATGACAAAGGAAGTAAAAGCAAACGAAATGTTTTGCCTACTCATCAAGTGAAATCTGATCCGGTTGACAATTGACACACTCCATGAACAGGATTGACGTCCTGTTCTTTGCTCAATTTTCTGGCTTTTCTTGCATGCACAGCAACCGAGGCATGCAATACACATTATATGAAGCAAACTTCCTTATTTAATGTTTCTTTTGCTCCATATACCCTTTGAATGCATCATTGTGAAGATGTTTGATAACATTCTTAAAAAGGACTCTTTTTTAGAATTAAATGCTGAACATCTTGATTATCATTCACTCAGGAATGTGCTGCCACTTGAGGACAGCTGCATGGAAGAAGCAATGCTTTCTTTTGTCACAACAATTACGTCTGCAAAATAAATGGGAATTACAATTTAAGCTCATAAGACCTTTTCTGGAATACTTAAGAAAGAATCACAAAAACGGATACTAAACAAAAAAAAAATGGTTTAGCAATGGAATCTTGTATATTTAACATGACATCCAATCAATGTGTAAACAAAAGTGCGCTTAAACCAAATTACAGATGGATCGTATAGTGTCTGGTGGTCTACTCAGCTTATAGCTGAGAGTTACTAAACTAATAACTTTGAAACCCAGATGACTGTTGCGGGAGGTCACCAGAAGGTTTCCCGTCAACATAATGTGGCTAAATACACAAATAAAAAGTGATTTTTTGCTGTGTCAGCTGGGGCATGCAAAGCAGCAAGAAATCACTAACCCTTTCCCCCCTACTGAAACACAGCAAAGACATGACCAAACATGACACTGTTTGGCACATTCAGTTCCCCTTTGCTCAGATTCCTCTTTTATCATGTTCCATGCTTCATTTACGCAAGGTAAAGAGGCTGATGGTTTCAAATTTTACGTATGGTGAAAACACCAGAATTTTACTAGGCCCTCGTACTATGGTAAGAATGATTAATTCCCCCCCCCAAAAAACCTTGATAATCAGCTAAATGCATGCCGCTCTGACAGTCATGTTCCCCCGATTATCAATCTTTCTGCAAAATTTTGTTCCAACTCTAATCAAAAAACATCTGAACCTGCTAATCAGAATCTTGCTTCAAAAATGACACACAATTGTGCAAGAGCATAGCTGGAATTAAATTATAGGTTTAGCACACAATGAACTCTGTTGACTGTTCAACAAATGCACAGCAACCACTAACAATGTAGATATGTTTGCAAAACAGTCCAGTCCTGTGACGTTAGCAATTCGCATTCTCTCATTCTCATCCTTCACTACCATTCTTTATGCTTTTTTTTTTCTTTAACAAAGAGAGCTCGGAACTTGCTGCCAGTGTTGAACCTTATCGCTCATGGTCTTGCAGTAAAAAGCCTGAAACCTGAGCATGCAATCATGTGCAAATTCCTACGTTGCATGTTCCATGCTCATGCAGGTCAAGCTAAACAGCCAAGCTCTGGTAGAGTTGTGGTTAAAAGTTTGGAAACAAGCATTAAATATAGTTAGATATTAGTTTCATTCATTGTTTAAATGGTGAATTAATTAGCAAATAAAGCCATCTTTAGCACTATCAAAGTCTTTGATGACTGCCTAAGGGCAATATTATTATGCTTCATAAAAACTTAGAATATTCAGAAACTCTGTATTACATTGACGCAAACAGTAGTAGCTAAACTGCTAAACATGTTATGTATGTTAAATGAGAAACACATATAGAACAAAAACAGTTTTATAATGTATATTAAATTTGTGGTCCTTTTTTGAGGAATATGGGTCTGTTGCTAACTGCTGCTATACAAATGCACAGCTTCAGATTCACTAGTTGACTGTTTACCTGATAGTGGCTCCCTGGGTTTGACCTCGGGCACCTCCTCAACTGGCTCTTCCTCGGGGCCCTGGGATGAGTGGTCCTGCATGGACTCCCTCTTCATCTTGCCCTTGCCCACCATCTTCAGGAAGGAGAGTCGACGACTGGTGGAGTCAGAATCAGCTTCTGAGCATAGGTCACCATTGGTCAAGCTCTCCTTGCGATCTTTACACTTCCCTGCCATTCTATAGGAAGATGAAGGTTGATATGGTTGATTAGTTAAATTTTGATTTTGACACTTTTTTCCAAAGTACATGGCATCTAAGTCAAGATATACATTTTTATGTATTTGAACCATGACCACGTTGTTGCTAGAATCATGCTCTTCTACTGTTTGAGACTCAGGAAAGCTTTATGAATTATGAAATGAATTGTTGCAATAGCACAAAAACACACAGTCTTTCATAAACTAATAGTGTATTTAGAAAACTATGAATTCAAAGGCATGTGTCTAGAACAGTGTCTAAACCAGTAGTCTACTCTACTAGTGGCAACAAATGGAACTACAGAAATTATAATTGTTTACAAATGAGTTTCCCAAACCTCCCTTTGGCAATAAATCATCATATAAATCATTAATTAGACCTAAAATGTTTATCACACTTCATTTCTTTCTTTTGTGCAACGAGTGTCTGTACATTTTCAGCCATCTTGGTTTTCTTTTTATTCATTCTTCCTATATGGATTTTCAAAATATCTTTGTTAAAGAGTTTTAGCTACAAATTGAATTATTTAAAGCAAAAAATTATTTTAAAAAACAGACAAAAAGTCAAATATACAATACTGTGTACTTAATGGGTTCAATGAGGAAAAGAACTACAATCCCATGATGCATTCCGAATGACACAATCGAATTAATTAATCCAATTAAAATGTAATATAGAATTATAGTATTACAATATAATATAGTATTGCTTTTAATAAATAGATATAGTCACATATCTACACAATATATTTTTCAAATATATATTATAGTTTGAAAGCATATAGGGAGACTAAATATTACATCATCCACAATGCTTCATGGGAGTGGGCGGGGTTTCTTTGCAGAATCATGAATAATAGTTTCTCACCAGGAATTTAAAAATAACTTATTAAAAAATAAGTTAAAATAATGCAGGCTAATGGCTTAAACAATAGCATATACCACCAATGATTAACAAACTTGTAGCTCACAGTAGTTTATAAGTTAAAAAAAAAATGTTGCACTCTGAAAATGCAACCGGAACCAAATGACATTCTTTTACGTTGATGATTGTCGCATGTGCATTCTTCTGCTGAAAATTACACATACAGTGTTCCCTGCATGATTTATTCAACGGCCCAGACTGAACTCTGCAACCAAATCTACAGATGAAAATTATCCCATGATTTACTCACCCTCAAGCCATTCTAAGTGTATATGACACAATCAGAGTTATATTAAACAATAACATTGCTCCTCCAAGCTTTATAATGGTAGTGAACAGAATTTATGATTTTGAAGTCCAAAAAAGTGCATCATGAAAGTAATCCATATGACTCCAGGGGTTAATAAAAGCCTTCTGAAGCGAAGCGATGCATTTGTGTAAGAAAAATATCCATATTTAAAACTTTATAAACTAAAATAACTAGCTTCCAACAGCTTGAAATTGTTGCCCAGCCCTATTTATTTGAACCGCAAGAGGTGTCTACATCATACATCGCTTCAGGGGATACTCTTTTGGAGTAAGTCGACTTGCGTAGGCTGTCTGCTGGAAGCTAGTTATTTTAGTTTTAAACATGGATATTTTTTTCTTACAAAAACCCATCACATCGCTTCAGAAGGACTTTTTTTTAACATCCTACAGCTGTATCAATTACTTTTATTATGGATGGATGCACTTTTTAGGACTTCAAATTATCATAAAGCTTGGAAGAGCAATGCTATTATTTAAAATACCTCTGATTGTGTTCGTCAGAAAGAAGATTTGCATATATACCTTGCTTGAGGGTGAGTAAATCATTAGATAATTTTCATTTTTGGGTGAACTTAATTCTTTTCAATTCCCATCATACCGTAGCAAGCTCCCTTCTGAACTCCGTCTGCCCTTCTTCTTCATCCCCAGGGGTGAGGCTGAACCTATAGAGCCCTGTGGGGAGGGAGTTTCCCTGCCCTTGCTCCTGGCAGACATGCGCAAGTTCTTGCCCAGCTTGCCCAGGGTCTTGAGGGGGGAGACCCCCTTCATGCGCTCCAGCGTGCCTTTGATGGAGCTTCCCTTCCCTGAGCCTCCACGTCGCACCTCATTAGCCTCATTTTCGTCTTCCTCATCCTCAAACGGGTTTCTGTCCCGCGGCACACGCCCATCAAGAAGTGAGCCTCCATTGCTTCTTGGCCAGTCCTCATCTGAACCAGGCTCCTCAAATGGATTGTGGTTAAGACTCATTTTTCTGAGAATGAACTCACTACGTGTAGTCTCCAAATCCACACTAAATCTGCCTCCCTTCAGCCGAGACGGGAGGTTCTTAAGGACTGGCATGGTTGCGCTTGGAGGATATATGCTGGAAAAGAGATAAAACAGTTATCTTTCAGAATCCCCACTACCAGTATGAACTATAAGCCATTACAGATGCCTCTACAAACAGGAAATTACTGCCACACAGGCCAGTACACTGGCATTCATCCATCATGCGGTTATGAGCTTTCATTTTTTTGTGCAAAAAGTTCCTTGGTTCTTTCCCACGTACAATACAGACAAAATTAAATAGTAAAATGCACATAGAAATAGAGAGACTGGATTTTGGGATAGATTTCAATAGGTAATGTCTGATAATGTGGACACTGTGGTGACTTTAATTCATTTAAAAATACAGTAAAAATACAATTCACACATATAATGGAAGATTTATACCTCTTCTTTGATGAGCATGTTGTTATGTTCTGAATTTAAATTTGTTTTGACACTTTCTTTGGGGGATATAGTCAAAATGTAAAGGTGATACAACTGAAAAAAAGACAATTATTTCAATTATTATTTCCCTCAAACAAATAGTTTTTTCTGCCAAATCAACTACAACCCCCATGCAGGAAAAAAACCCCATAAAAATAGGAAATGATGTCACAGAGAGGACCATTTCAAGGTGGAAGGTGACCTCGTGGTGCAACTCCCAAATACATATTATGAATTAGTCATTTAAATTATTTGTTAAAAATACTTTATATTTGTATAATATTTATATAAATAGTAATGATTAAGTCTGACACTCACATTCAAGGTTTAAAAATATATTGTTATCACATGCATTTTTAGTTTTATTAGCAAACATTTTATTAATTCGTTCTCTCATTATGATTATAATGTCGTTATGTTATACTAATGTGCTCTTTCATTTTTTTTTTTTTTTAAATCGTGGCCCTGAAAAAGTTTTATTTGTCATTGACCGATGTACGATTGAGTCCTTTTTATTTTACTGACGTTTTTCGCAGTTTTAAACATCAACTCAGCTATACACACAGCATTAAACAACACAGATAAGACAGATCTGACAGTTTTATTTGAAAGATTACGTATTTTATGATAGCAGAATCTGAATCACACCCTTTGGTTAATCTTGAAGACAATTATTATGAGGACTTTTGATGTTGGGCCTGCCTATATCACAAGAATAATAAAAAGAAATCCTATACTCAAAGAGATGCAAAAACGACATACTGTATACACAGCCCAGAGAACGAGAACAAACTTCGAGTCTATTTCAAGACAACATGTTTGCCTCTTTCAAAGGCTTCTTGGGTAGAATAGCCCACTTGGATATTTATGGCTGGTGACAAAAGGGGATAGGAACAGCGCTGAATCACATCCGGTTTGCTAATTTGTGTGCTTGTTGCGTATGTGTGTGAGCATATGAGGGGACCAACACTGCATGAATCATTAACTTTGGGTTAATGCTCGTCTACCTGGCTTCCTCTTGATAAAAACTACATTCTGCCATTTTAACAACTGTAAACAAACATGTTCCTGAGATCAAAGTCACATTCTATACAGTAGCTTGGAGACCAATTTCAGTGTGTAACAGCCAACAAGCCTTAAATTCCTAGAGAGGGTCTATTGTTTGTGGCTTCCTACCTCTTTTAAATAATTATGTCTGCATGATTTTTCCATATGGGTTACCTACCATTCAGGGCTTATTCTTTTATGATCATCCACATTGATTGGCATTTCGAAGAAATTTATTTCATGTTTGTCCATGTCATAAAGTTCAGTGGAGATCCAAAACAATATTGGAAACCATTAACTTTCATTTTATGAGCGAAACATATTTTCTTTTGCGTTTATCAGAAAAAAGAAAGTCATACAGATTTGTAAAGAGAAAATAATGACAGAATTTGACATTTTTAACTGGGCTGTCTCTTGGTTGTTGAATCACTAGTGAGATGTAATTATTAGTCAAGGAGGACACTTACATAGCAAATGGAGTGAACGAGGAGGAGAACGTAAGTTACACTTTCCTTGAACCGTAAAGAAATTAACAAGTTAAATGAATGAGTTAATAAGACACAAAGCGACTGAAAAGTCTCACAGCTTCAGCGATTGAAATTCCATTGCTGATCATCCTCTCTCAATATTTCCACTGAAATTCCAGCTCTAATTATAAACCGTACAGTGGAGCCAATATGGACCGTCGGGTTAGATCATTGGGTGGATATAAAAAACATACTACCGCTTTCCCAGACCAACTCCTCTTCCTGTCTCATACAGGTAGGGGACAAAAGGGACAAGCCCCCTGCATTACAAACGAATGGCAGCGACATTACGTAATAAGTTCACTGGATAAAGTTAAGGAGAAATCAGACTAATGAGCTATATCTCTGTTACATCTACAGTTAATAACCAGCAGTTGTGATTGCCACATTTGAGGTATTACAGGATGGCATATTAACTTACAGCCATATTTCAAGAAGTGATATAATGTCAGTACCATGACTCTACTACTAATTCTTTTTTACATTATAAAATGTACTAACAAACCTAATAATATAATATGGTTAGGTCACAGTTAGTCTCAGGCTCAGCCCACCGGCCATTGGTTGAAAGTCTGATGCCTATGGTACACAAAATGGGAAAAACATGCACTGTGTCCAAAATATCGACTTAAACCACTAACTACCCCTTATGTAGGGGGTAGGGAGTAGAGCACTATATAGTGAGCTCACCAGCATAATAGAAACACCACTTTCGGACACTACTCGATTGTCTCTCGGCGCCGTTGATTACATCATCTGTCAGCTGGTGCATTTAAAAACTAAAAGTCATTTCTGGCCGTTTCTGTTATAATGCGCTATACTCACATGATTATGACTT